ATACTCGAGAAATATGACGCGCATTAAATGCTAGGTGTCAGCTAAGAGCGTAGTGTTGCGCTGCGAGATTGAGAGGACAGTTTGGGCGGTGCCATCAACTTTGTCAGTTTTGATTCAGACGACAAAGGTGATCGTCAAGCTACCTTCGGAAGTTTCCGAGAGTGATCGTTAACCCTAATCTCGTGTCTAGGCCGTCTGCAGGGCAAATTGGGCCTGATTCTTTATTTTTTGGGGCTTTTGTTAACAAAAGGCCACACTTGTTTTGGGAGCCGTGTCATAAAAAAAATTGGAGTTCAACAAATACAAATGATTGTCTTCACACCAAGTACCAGAAAAAATGCACTGAAAGGGTAGAAAGGTAAAACACTTTAACCCATGAGTGACCTACCTTTCCCATTTTTTTCCCATTTTGAGAGAGAAAAACTATATAATGAGAAACCACGGTTTTGCTATTAAACCATACTATCTCCCAACATAGGCTAAACCTCGAAATCGACTTCTTATCAAGCCGTCATATCTAGCCGTCAACTTCACTTCCGCCGTAGTTTTCATCGCCTACGGTTTCGATTCAACGGGCGCATCACCCTACGGCGGCGCCCGAATCAGATCCCGCCCTCCTGTTCCGACCGACGGCGTGCCTGCGGATCAGCTTGATTCTTAGCTCGCTCTTCCCTTTTCAACACCCTGCATTTTATCCATGCCTTCTCTGGCGTTGATGGCTACTTTCGTGCTCTATGGTGAAACCCTAGGTTCCGGCTCAGCTCAACATTCGGGCCTGTTCAATGCCTCCGGCGAAGGTTTTATGCGTTCCATGAGTCGTTGTCTCGAGATACTAACTTCTTGCGCATGGGGTTCCCCTGGTTCTGGCGGACAAGTATTCTTCTCAATATTTCCCAAGTTATCTTGATGAAATGTGTGGGGTTCACTGCAGTTTTGATTTGGAGTCGCAGGGTTTTAAGTTGGGGTTTAAGAAGCCCTAGTTGGTCTCTATGTTATATAACATTAGGCGTTTTGTTTTTTATAATAGTTTGTTCCGTTATTGTTTTGGAGTGTTTATTTTGGATACGATTTGTTGGTGGAGTGGTTATAGGAACTGTCGAACAGGCATTTTTTAGTGTGGTTGATCTATTATTTAGAGAAATCGATGAAGGTAAAGGTGCGACAAATGCTTCATTCAGCTTGTTTTAGGTCTATACTGATCCTGGTGTCAGGGTGAGTCAATGAGTGGCACTCAGGCACACAATGTCAGTGCTTTGGAACTCTGAGACGAGCGTTTGAAGAACAGTGGTAAGCTTTGGGCCAATTGTAGTATTTACATTGAAGAAAGCAAGGATGAGGCAACTGGAACAAACAGCGATTGACAAGTTTATTCAACTTGTTAGTGTCTTCAAGTACTCAGAAAAAAGGAAAAGGAATGGCAGCAGCAATCGATAATGAGCTGGTGAACTTGGAAAGGCGAGGCTTTGGAGATTGATCCAGCTGAAGGAAGAAAGTGAAATTAATAAGGGAAATAGTTGAGCATATGGTGTTTGAGAAAAAGTACACGTTGAACTTAACACGGCTGGCGAGGCGGAAAAGATCCAACACATCACTCGTAAAAGCGATTCTCGCCCTTTACGAGTGATAACCGGTCGAAGGAACGTAAGTATGAAATGGACGATTCCTAATGTTTTTAATTTTGTCGAGTCCTTGATTTTATTGTTTTGTATTGAAACTCAATGAGTTATTTTCCTCAAGGGCAATATCCATTTACTCTACAGAGCTGGCTGTGAAAATTGAAGATTGTAGAAGGGTTGGCTGTTGAAACTCAATTCTTCAAGCAAGTAGATTGTTCGTGAAATATCACTAACGAAAGGAAAAAATTGCTTTTACGAGTGGATGTCTTGGATCTTTGCCTCCTCGTCAACCATGTAAAGTTTGACGTGCATTTCTTGAACACTATATGTTCGTTTTCCTTGTTAATTTTGCCTACTTTGGGATTAATGTTTAAGGTTTTGTCTTTCTATCTCTGATATATTTGTAACACAAGTGATATAGAAAAGAGTTCCGAAAGTTAATCGAGATAGCTCGATTCATGTATTCGACCTATCCATTAGTTTTGTAGGAGTCGGTCAAAGGATACACAAAACCTTGTCCTCGTCCTCCAGAAAAACGCTAGCACAAAATCAGTTTGAGGTTCAAAATCTTCATGAAATGGTGATCTCCATTTCAAAAGTCAAGTGGAAAAATTGAATGTCCTTAATTAGTTGGAAATCAAGCTTTCAAGCAGAAACGTTCATATCCAGAAAATTGACCTGCTTTGTTGTCTTGTTGTCATTCGTCTTATAGCCAAGATATCTCAGGCAACACTAAGACATTTATGCCCGTATAATATATTAAATTATTTCCATTTTACTTCTTTTTTTTTGTCATCATAATAAGTTTTAACAATTGAAGTGATTTTTGCAAAAATGAGAGAAATAAAATGGCTCTCTTTTTTTTTGGTACAAAATAAGAAGCCAAAGCCTTATGAATTTAAGTCATTCACGTTACGCGAGTAAGGCACACCAATCACATCATGATGTAGCCATGGTCGAACCCTAATGGGCGGCACACTAAAATCTTGGTGTCCCACCGAATCCTTCCAGCGAAGGAAGCCATATGATCGGCTGCAAAATTCGCCCCGCAGAACACGTGTTTCACCTTCACTCTCTAATGGCGATTCAAGAGGTCCTTAATTCCTGTGATTAATCCTGTATGCACTCCCGGTACATCCTTTAAAGACTCCGAAAATTGCACAACATTAGCGTTATCCACCTCTGCCTCAACTTGCCGAAAGCCGAGGTCCCAAGCCAAGAAAAGACCCCGAAAAGCACCCATAATTCCGTCGTCATAATCGAACAATACCCAATGGCTCCTTTGTTTGTTAGCAATTTGTGCTAAAGTAACGCATTAGACCATATTTAAAGGTTTGATCAACTAAAATTTCTAATTAATTTAATTAGTAAAAAAGTATTATTGGATTAGTTTTTTTATTTTTTTGACTAAAAACATTATTTTATTTTTTTTAAAAAAACTAAAAGTGGTAGCATACGAAGAGAAGATTAAAAAATGTTATATAACGTAACAACTATAAATTTCCGTTTCGTAACAACTATAAATTTCCGTTATCTACCAAATATAATTATGGAAAACTGTTAATTCAATCTATTAGTTTGTGATCGTGTTTTAGGTTTGGGCCGTTGGCCTCTGTGCATCCGGGTGTCAAATATATTACTCCGATTGGGGTCCGACATTCCGGTATTACCCTGTGGGGGTCTTGTCTTGTTGTTTTTGTTGTTTTAGTCGTTGTCTATTACCCTGTGGGGGTCTTATCTAGTTGTTTAGTTGCGAGTTTTTCTTCCTAGCGGTTGCTAGCCGGGTTTCTAGGCGGTCTCCGGACATGTCCTCCCACTTTTCAGCCGTTGGCTGCTTGTATTCGCACACTTGTGCGCTTTTGATTTATAATAATATCTATCATTTTGGAAAAAAAAAATCTATTAGTCAAATCAACTAATACAATTTAATGGTCACTTATCAACTATCTGCTATCAACTAATTGCTAAACAAAAATATTATTCTATTTATATCGTAAAGATAGAAAGTATTCAAATTTGTTTTATATTTATATTAAGAAATATATTAATCAACTCGGATAATGTATTTTGTACAACTGTGGAAGGAAGTTAAGGATGGACTCAATATTAAAATT